AATTCTCAACTTATCAAGACATATAACAATATAAAATGTAGATGGCAAAATAATCTGATCTGATTTTGCTTGCAATTTGTCACCCACATGAAAAGATGCCTTTAACAGTTTAATTTCATAGTTATCCAATAAAAATCCCCTTGGCAAAAGCAGGCCGCTGCTTATACTTTAAAGTGTGTAGTCGGTCCCTGATAGTGTCTGGGAGTTGTCTCTGAAGAATTCTCAACATATCAAGATAAGAGATGATAATATAAAATGTAGATGGCAAAATAAAACGGCATGCACCCCTAAACATATGCTCATTAATTAATTATGGTTACAAGCAACAGAAGGATAATCTTTCAATGGTTGCAACGCATAATCTATTTTAGCTGAAATCAAGTTAACTCATGCGACAAAACGGAAAATGGGTTAGAAAATAAATCAATAAGATCAACGTTATATAATGTTGAAAACAAAACAGATAGTAAAAAATCTTATTCTAATTTAATTCCTAAATCAAATCTCAACCCTCCAGACACTGGTGACATCTGACCGCATTTGAAAGACTTCATCTAATTTAAACAATCAAATCAAATCAAAAGTAAAACATGCAAACAGGTATAACTGCTTATTTGAGAATATCCGAGGAAACTACATCGCCGTTGAATACCCTGAAAAGAAATCTGCTTATGATAAGTTATTCTTTTTATACCATGGTCAGGGCAATATCTCAGTATATAATAGTAAGTGATAAATCACATATTTGGGATATGGATGATATTGGGATTAGAGGGATGATATGGATATCAACCCGGGTATTTATTCAAAAAAATTTCATTTTTCAAAAAAGATATTTTTTCAAAAATTTTCATTTTCTCATTCAAAAGAGGATTTTAGATATATGTTGCACTTGACTATGGTATAAGGTCGTTATTCACCTATCGGGATGATATTGAGAATATCCCTAGGATGATATCAATATTTCCCTCTGTCACTGCGTTCCCTCGGGAGATATTAATATCATATGATATTCTCCATATCAAACCCTCCTGGTGAATAACTACATTTATCCTATGCCAAGTAGAGTTTTAGGGAGATAAGTTGGTAAGATATATCCCGTATCCTGATTTTGAGGTTTCCATATCCTGAACCTCCATATCTCCCGCCATATCTCCCCGCATCGAAAATTGAAAAAAAAAGAAAAAATGTAAAAAATTGAAAAAAATAGAAAAAAGAATTGAAAAAAAATTGAAAAATGTGAAAAATATTGAAAAAATAAAAAAAAAATTGAAAGAAAATTAGAAAACTCTACTTGGTATGGGATAAAGCAGTTATGTACGGTCGGTTTGGATATGGGGTTCATCCCTCGTGAGATATGCACATCTACGGTCCCTCAGGTAGATATGCATATCTCCCTCAGGATAAACCCCATATCCAAATCCTCCCAGTACATAACCCTTATATACTTTCAACTAATTTAACAATGAAACGGAAACACAATACATGCCAAACATTATCTATTGTTATATTATTGTTATTTCATAGTTTGCACTTGTCCAGCAACTGTGTTTCTCAAATCCAATCGGGATAAACCTTTTTAGGGTTAACACGTCGCTTGAGGCAAGATGCATAAACTATATAATTCCACGGCTATAACTTGAAGAACGGCACTGTTGTGTCGGTGCCCCTTTAGGATGGGCCGTATATTGTTCTTGTGTGTACCTTACCCACGAGAACCTACAAAATAGAATAATATATAATTACATTATGAAAAGGGGAGGTCCTAACACATCAACCCAAACATCCCCATATTTGCAACAAAACAATGATAAACCAAAGTCAGTAAGTAGTAGTTGTACCATATGCATGAATTTTAGCTTTTGAGAAAGATGATAAAACGCAAAATATTATTTAAATACTTGGTGAAGTCTGGCATTCATGATCTGACAGGAAATTTAGGGAAGGCGTTGATTATAATTAAACGTAAAAGCAAAAGTTGACCATTGCATCTCGGTGGTTATCATGACAAATGAATGTTCATTCGAAGACGACCACTGAATCAAAATCCAGTTCACTTAAGCAACGTATTATATAAAACAAATAAACTAAATCACTATAACTATAATAAATTAATAACGCCAATTAATAAATAGATAACGTGTTTTATATTCGTTCATTGACATTAACTACCGCGTTCGAACACAATACTCCTGATTTCAATATGATCATAAATATGTCCCACTCGTATAATAAATATATATATCTGTCTCAATCGTGATTTGCCCCCGTTGTCAGAAATTATATTTTATAAAGACGTTATTTATTAATGATCAGTGAAAATATGTGCCGATCGACGCAATGTCTGGTTATATATAACAAACGAAAATTGTACGAAATATTTCAAATATACAGTATTTTGAGCTGGCTTATATTTGTTAAAAGTCAATGTCTAATTAAAATACTGTGTTCGAAGAGAAGGATTATAAAGTATTTAAACGTTTGACGTCAAGGAGGATTGGCTCCCAGGATCGAAACTCGATATTTTCCAACAATGAAAACGTCGAAATGTCGTTATTTTCTGAAATTAAAACCGACTATAAATTCAAAATAAACAGTTCAAAAGATTCGAACCAATATCTCGATCGTTTCTTGTGAGTTTTGGAATTTTTCGTTTGGAAATAAGACCAAAATTCACGATTTAAATGTTGAAGTGAACAAAATGGCGGCTGTTTGAATTCGAATTTTGTATTACGACATACCCATATATGGGACAGAATATCGGTGGTGCACTCTGGGAGCCAATCCTCCTTGGTTTGACGTACAATCTAAATGTACAGATATCAGACTAAAAAATAATCTGTCCCCATTGTAATTTACCCTGTCCCAAGTTATTGTGCCGATCGGCGCAACATTCGATGCACCGACAGAATTCCCCGTTGCAACGATCGGTGCATCAATCGGTGCATCGAACGCGCCGATCGATGCACCGAAATGGGTGCATCGATGCACCGATGGATGCACCGAAGTTCTGCGCCGCGATGCATAATTATAAGATCTTCGGCAAGACCTGTACTGTATATATGCGGTAAATGCACTTGTATATGCGGTTTATGTTATTCAGTGTTTGGTAAAATATCACATATTTAAGTCCATGTACACACACGGTTGAAAGACGGTTGACACATATATTTAGAACACGCATCGAATACAAATACACTTTAGTACCAAACAATATGTTCATTTACCGAACAATCATAGAGTACAAAATAGCACGGACATATAGTGACTTACCCCACATAATTAATACCATGTACTTTCGCATAAAATTATGTGGGGTAAGTCACGTGACTTACCCCACATAAATGACACATGCTGCATGTAGCATAAAACCATTCGGTAAATCACGTGACCAGTGACGTAGAAATTATTGATGAAACAAGCGAGGAAAAAGAATTTGAATACGATTCATATTCACAATTCAGGAAATTGAGAAGTTACATCATGATATACCATGACATCTCATTTCTTCTCAGCCCTGAGATGCCATGATATAATGAGCTTGATTTGGCGATCCAGGAGAGCCCAAAATTGAGGATTTTTGAGATCTTTCATCCCAGCTCATATTTCATTTAATTGGGGTCATTAAACTTGTGTACACGTACCTGTGCTAATATCTGCTGTTAAATACAATGCCTATTATGCAATGTATTGACATTAGGTAAATGATTACATGATAACTATCATACTTATTGACAGTTATAACTCTTCCCATCTGATGTGCTCAGATCACAGAATATGCCTCATAATACAGGTATCAGAGCATGTTTCAGGTGAAACAGAAAGATGCTATGAGTATCAGAATGGAGAAGTTATTAGATCATTACAACAGGCATGAGGCTACAAGCGATCCGTTTTCGCGATTGGAGAATCACACAAGAGCTCTTTGAATATATAGATGGCGCAAGTCACATGGTCGAAGTCACGTGACTTACCCCACATCAAAACAGTGAACATTGGTTTATATAAAAGCATTCGGTAAGTCACGTGACTTACCCCACAAATTAATATGTTTACCACAAATTAATATGTTTACCCAATACGAATGGTACTAGGCATCGCACATATTTAAAATACTTATCAAATTTATATTTGATCGGGTCGAATACAGTTTTGAAGCATTTTACATATTTGTTGTGTAAGGCAGTCAATTATATGTGGGATAGTAGGTACCATTTGTTGTAACTGGTTTTGTTTATGTTCGGTTTAACTTACTCCGTGGGGTAAAAACCGAAGATATTAAAGTTACGAATATTGATGCAATAAATTCACTATACTGATGTACTGTATCGAATATTATATCATTATAATATTTTCGTGAAATTGTTTCCCAGATTTTCCAAAATCTTGATATTTTACCCAAAAAAATATTTTTCTAAATTGTAGAAGAATATCTAAAACTTACTCATATGTACATGATATAATGTACCTAAAAATTACCAAAACCATATACTATATACAATTATTGACCGAATTAAATTTTAATTAAATTAAACCGAATGGAGAGGTCTATAATTGTTTTGTTAGTCCGAAGAATATCTTAGATTTTTCTGACCCTTGAAGTTGACTTGAAGTTGGATCCAGACCCTCGAGACGTTCATGTTGTATTTCAGTATATCGGCAGTAAGTTCACTCAATGGAGTCAAATTACTCTCCTGGGCGAAGTCCACTAAAAGCTTTGTACAAAGTTTTAGATTTTTCTTTGTATTTTGACTGTCTTTACTCTCTAAGAGACTAATAATATCCTCATCTTCAACATTTTTGAAACGGCTAATGCTAGCGGCGGCCATTTTATCGTCTGATAATGACGTCATTTTAGTGGAATGCTCGGAATATTATTCACCGGCAATGCATTGCGCGGTGTACAGTTAAAATTATTCACCGCTCGTTGACCAATCAAAATCGAGTATTTCAACTGAGGTACTAACAATATTAATTGTTTTTTGTCTTTTTATGTTTACCTGCGCATATTTGCCTTAATGCTATGCTGGTCCATATCTATGCTGAGAGCACGGAGGTTACAGTAAGAAGTGCAGATGTTCACCATCTCCTCTGTTTCTATGGCAGCCTATAAAACAAACATATTGCTATAGCAACGGCAGTTTTTATGATTTTCTAGATTATCTTTGAGACCAAATAAACACATATTGGGAAAAAAATATTGCCCCAAGGCATGATAAAAACATTACATATAAGGGTGACTTGAAAAAAGGCCAAAATTGAAGTAGGTAAAACAGAATCATCAATGTTAAAGAAATTATTCAAAATATTTTCAGTCTCCTTTTTTCCAGATATCATTTAAAACAGCATTAATGACCTACAATAGGCCTGTTCTCACCTCGTCGATGTCAGAAAGAAACTCTTTGCCAATATCCCCTGAGAAGCAGGTCAGATCAACGCCACTGTGTGCTAGCAGGGCATACATTCTGGCCAGATATCCCCCTGTCTTCTCGACTATACTCAGTTTACTGTGGCTCTTATCCTCATAGTGTACAGGTATAGGGTCACCAGTAACATGCCATCCCTGGGAATATATACATGTGATTAATTCAATGACTCATCCTGTAGTTGTAGACTGAAGAGGATTTGCAAAATATAAAAAAGGTGTATATACTGCAGGTAGTTTCAGTATAATATATTTAGAGGTGAAATATGACTGAGTTCTGCCAATACAGGTCGACCTTGAACCTTGGCTCCATTTCAATTTTAATTATCAATTTAAGGCTGCCTTCTTCAAAGATCAAAACCACACACAAAATATCACAAAAACTCCTCCTAAAACATAATTAAATTTATAACCCTCCCTAAAACACAACTGGTTGGTGTCATGTTGATTTTGCTCTTTCAAGAATATAAAGTCCTTCACCTGTTCATGTTCACATAACAGTCTTATACACAACTCTTCATCCAACCAAGTCTTCTGGTCATCTTTTGCAGACTTCAGTGACATCAAAGAGCCCATTGTTGTGTTACGACGCTTCACCTTGTAATTATGATTGAAGATTATTTCTGAATTCATTAAATCTTCAACATATTTTTCATTTATATTTTATACTTAAGAAAAGTCAAAAAAATATCAAGACTTGAACAATGGCAAGACTCAAACAATGGCAAAATATTGGCAAGACTCAAATAATAGTAAGACACAAATTATGGCAAGACTAAAATATGTTTGAAACACCCATACTAAATATTGGCGAGACTCAAATATTGGCAAGACTCAAATAATGGTGAGACACAAATAATTGCAATAATGGCACCTACAGCAGATTTAACTCTAGATGACTTTGGCCTCTTGCTGGACTGTTGTCTTGAAGTTGACCTTGACCTTGGGCTATCGTCTGCTTCATCTGTTTCCTCTATTTTTTCAGATACATCTACATCAAAAAGTAAAATCAACAACAAATAGTTCCATTCATATCATGCTCTACCCCTTTCAACCAAGAAAATAATTTTTTGCTAAAAATGTGCAAACTGAGTAATGAACTATTACTACAAGAACAATGTTATGGAATTAAAAAAATTTCACCATAATTGGATGGCCTATTATCATTTATTCCGTAATTCACAAACTATTTTTTTTTTTTTTTATTTCATGATAAATGCATTATTACTCATTAACTATTTTACACATGTACAATGTATATGAAAATGCATTTAGTTCATATATACTGGATGAGTGTGGTGTAAAAGTGGTTTTGAAAAGTAGCAAATTTCTCTTCATATAGGTTATTTGTGGTTTATTATTATACATTGATTCTGAAATCATTGGTGTCTAGTTTTTCAGCGTTTTGGAAATAATCAGATTTATACCCCCCTGGTGTAATTTTAAGGGGGGTACTTGGAAAGCCATATATCATTCCTAGAATATAGAGCCAATCATCTTGATTTTTCCAGGTAATCATGTACTTATCATGTCCTACCATTATGACAAGTTTCATTAAAGTTGATCAACTGGTTGCTATGGAAATGGAGATCATATGTTAAAAAGTACAAATTTTCGTCAAAATGTAAGATACCCCATGAGACAAAACACATATTACATGTATTTTCATGAAATTGGAAGGAATCACCATGAAACCATTTTAGAAAACTTATTCAAAGTATATTTGATAATATTAAATCAACTTCTGTTTTATCTTATCCACACAGTGGAATCTATTGCTGATGATTATATGGCAATGCAAGTAAATTTAGAAAGGGGATGTGGCACTTTTCCAAAGAATTCTTTATTTGTGTTCGACTTTTTGAAGAAAATAAGTAACCATTTGTCCTGAAATTAACAGATATTATTCACATCATTATGTTTGACAATCATGGACAATTTCATCAGTGTTGGATTACTGGTTACTATGGTGAACAGATTTATACCCCATTGGTATGATTTTAAGTGGGGTACAATGAAGGCCATCTATAATTCCTAGAATATACAGCCATTCATCTTGATATTTACAGGTAATCATCTACTTATAATGCACTACCACTATGACAAGTTTCATTAATGTTTAACACTTGGTAGCTATGGCAACAGATATAATTTATTAAAAAATACACATTAAGGAGATACTATATATAATTCCTAGAATATTCAATTAATCATCTTGATATTTATGGGTAATCATCAGCTTATCATGTCTTACCAGTATGACAAGTGCCATCAATGTTGGTCAATTGGTTGCTATGGTAACAGAAATCATTTCTTAAAAATTGCACATTAAGGGGGTACTATGATAATAATTCCCAGAATATTTAATCAATCATCTTGATATTTACAGGTAATCATCTGCTTATCATGTCCTACCAGTATGACAAGTGCCATCAATGTTGGTCAATTGGTTGCTCTGGTAACAGAAATAATTTGTTAAAAAGTGCACATTAAGGGGGTACTATGAAAGCCATGTATAATTCCTAGAATATTCAATCAATCATCTTGATATTTACGGGTAATCATCCGTTTACATGTCCTACCAGTATAACGAGTGCCTTCAATGTTGGTAATTTGGTTGCTATGGTAACAGAAATCATTTGTTAAAATAGTACACATTTTTGTAAAAATCTAAGACTCATGCAACCTTTGACATAAGCACATAACATGTTCATCATTTTGGGAGAAATAAGCATGGAAACATTTCATAAAACTTATCACATCTCATCAATCACAACAGTGGACGCTTTATTGCCATCACTGGTCATCAACGGACATGTTTTACACTCAGAGTAATACATGCTGTTGTTCTCAACTTTTTTTGTGTCTTCTGGGTTTTTTCAACTGTTCATTGTTTTTAGAATTCATTAAGAAGCATTTCCAGTATTTTTATTGGGTGTAATAGTTGTACATATCTCTTAGTTTGTTTATTACAAGTGACGTGGTAACTTGTTGATGGCAAAATAGAGCCAAATTGGCCAGACCAACCCATTTCACCTGATGATCTCATAGACATATGGTCACATAAAGATTGCAACGGATGCTTTGACAGAAGTAAACATTGAAAGATCTATGAATGAGGATTTTGATGCAAATGATATAAAAGATGACTAAGTGAGATCAGCTCATAATTTACTATGCCCCTATGCATAATGTGACAGCCGCATTCTGCATAGTTTTATTATCATAAGCAAATACAATACATCAAATGGCCCAGATGAAATATGCATTGATTAAATATTATCAGTCATACTCAAAATAGGTTTTTTAAAATGTTCTCATGCTAATTCCTCCCAATTTGATAAAGATTTTCAATGTCTTAGGGTGTGTCTTAAAATTTTACGAAATGTGTACTTTTTTAACAAATAGATTTCTACCCACATTTGACCCACATTGATGAAACTTGTCATCATGGTAGGACATGACACAAGACAAAATCGTATAAAATAACTTGCAATAAACTCGGTATTGACCTTGTTATTATGGTCGTAGTTGTGGTTATTATTGAGTAATGGTACAGGTATCCGATATGGTATTGCAGCGTATACTGGAGTAATGGTACAGGTATCCTTGGATTTTAGCCCCGAATACCGAGGTTTATTTTTTCTATTATCGTGTATTATTCTTTTGTGTTAATATAAGTTAACCATCTAACTATTGGTATGACATGATTACCTTGTTCTATTAATATAGTGTGTAATGAATATGCTACATTTTGTATGTTCAATTTGTAGACTGGCAACTAGTATTTATATGTTTAGGTTACATAGGCTCATGTTAATCCAATAATATAGATGAAGACAACTTAAGTTACAAGATACCAATTCAAATCAAGAGTGAAAAGATGATATTAGTCTATACATTTTATGAATAATGCATATTTGAATAAACATAGGCGGGTTATTATACTATGACGATATTAATCAAAATTGCAATAATTTTCTAACTAGATGCCTGTTTTAAGAAAAGTATCACGGCTGGTGATCCTACATATCATTATTATTCTCAGAAAGTCGGTATCCGAATCGGATACCAAGTTCTGACCAGCAGACGAACAACTAAGTTTGTTTATTTAACGGTTAGATTTGTTGACTTACCGATGCGTATTACAATCTTTTTTGGTCTCTTTTGGTTAATCACAAGTTTGATAATGTCAACGGACCATGAGATAACACATTGTCAGAGGAAAGATATCAATATCAGGTGTATATCGCATAGAAAAATAAATATGGTTAATTGTTTGCACTGATATGATGTGACTAAGTATTTATATTTCGTTTTATTAAATCCAATTTCCCGCCCTTGAGGTTTCAGACTGTGAAACTTAATATTCAATACTGACCAACTGCATAAATTAATATTTTCATTATGAAATATATATTTTATTTCTCCAAGATATATAATTTTGAATTTGTTTATGTATTAAAGAGTGTGATTTAACGATAATTAATGAAAATCAAATGAGGTTTAACACATAAAAATGAGTGGGGGCGGGAGGGGGAGCGACACGCTATTACTCCGAACCTCGTTACTCCCAAAAATCCAATACTTTTAAAAAAGTTAAAAGATTGGTAAAACATACACTTTAATTGTAGTCTTCAATCTCCTTTATAGCAAAATTGAATGAAACGTTTAGAAACTGAGAAATTAAGTGTAACGGATAGACCTCAAAGAATAAATTACGAAATATAGGCCTAAATGACTAACAACATTACGTGCAGTTTTTTATGATATGAAATAGCGGGATTCAGAAACGCATTGAACTTTAATAACAGATTACAGGGACTTATCTTGATTTCGGGCCTTGATTGCAGTCTATGGAGTTGCGTTAGGTTTTATGAAGTACTATTTTTAATTCCGCATATTAGATATCTCTGATAAATAGCTATAATTTGATGAAAACAATATTACCATAGGCCTTTGAAATCAAAATAACCTGCCATATAGAAATCAATCTACATCATGTTGCTAACAAACAGCATAATTCGGCATTAATACGTAGAACTGGACAACAAATAACAATATAATGTTGTTTTGATCTGGATTTTGAATATACAGTACTCTTTTCCCTCAAACCTATCTACCTCTTGGAAAAAACCTTAACTGGTTATTTTGTACCTTGAATCTAAACTTGATACATGTACGTTCAAAATATCAACGGTTACATATATTCATCATTCAAAGGTTTGCCCTCGGCCCGACACTGAATTAAATCGGACCGTTTCAAGAGAGGAATGATAAATAGAAATCTGATTTGGGAAGCCATTGGATCTAACTCACTAAGAAATTGTGTATTTAAATGATATAAGCCAAAAAATATTCTAAAAATTGAAACATTTTTTTTTTGTCTAATGGCTTCAGATAAATTAAACTAGATAACGGCAACTCCGCGGAGTAGCAAATCCCAACGAACAAAATATCAATTACCGAATTCCAATCAATTATACTCATTACTTTGGTTGAAATGAAAAAATTAGATTTTAGAATTGCGAAAGCAGCCATTTTGAATTTTCTGAGGTACAAATCTGAAAAATAATACCATAATTGTGATCTACTCCAAAATTCCTTCAATTTGAGTATAATATAGCCATACTTTGAAGAAATCGAAAAATTATTGCGAAATCGTACATTAGACGGCCATTTTGAATTTGACGAGGCTCGAATCAGAAAAAAGATACAATATTTGCAATCTACTCTTAATTGCCTTTCATTTGAGTATAATAAAGCTATACTTCAGAAGGATCTAAAAATTAGCGAAAATTTCTGTTTTCCTGTCCCCCCATACATGGCCCCTGGGGGTCAGGATGAAAAACACGGAATATTTGTGTTGTGAAAACACTACCAAAATTTCAAACAATAATATTAATTACTTTGGTTTAGAATGAAAAATATATGATTTTTGCGAAAAAGTCCCGTCATTTTTAAAGCGGCGGCCATCTTGAAAAAAATTTT